GTCATAGAATTCATGATCGGCCAATTCATTTTTGCTTTCACCAAATATCGTGAATCTATATTTTCTATCTCTCAATCAGATACCAATAGCTTGTATGCGTTTGAATCCCTTGACCAAATCCCCTGGGCTTAGCTGTGATGCGATAGTCGGTGGCCGCCATGAAACAATAGCATTTGATCTACTCCCTTTTAGGAAGAATTAAGATTTGTTCATTCTCAAACTGCTTAATCATTCCATCCTAATAAAATTTTGCATATCTTTTTAAACAATTTTCTAATGATATATGTGACTCCGACTTTACTTATTTTAATTTCCCAAAAGTGATTGATCCCAAAATAATGACATCTAATATATATTTTTTTTTTATGCAGGTAGGGTTGCTACTTAGTAATCTTGAATTCGTGCGTAACAGGTTCTTAAACGACAACGAAGTACAACAAACTTTGAACTATATTGTGGACGCAATTATGGTGTGTCACATGTTTGTTGTAGGGTTAGAAATTGATCCCAATATATTCCTCCAATTGACACTCCCAGAGGCAAAAGTTGCATATTCTGGAGTGCTAACTACATTTGTCTTTGCTTGCCTCGTGACTCCACTTCTACACATTTCTAAACAACCAAATGCTGTATTCAGTTCATGTTTAGCAATCGTTCTTGCTGGAACAGATTCACCCTTATTAACTCGATTAATCACTGACCTAAAAATTGGAAAATCGGACATAGGTCGATTTATTGTTGAAGCCGGAATACAGTCTGATGTTGTTTCGATATTATTAATCACTATTGGATTTCTCGTTTTTGATCCGGATAGAAACTTTCAGAATCGAAGTGTGAAAACGATGCTAAAGATGATGGCGATTTTGGTGTTTCAAACGTTGTTAGCATCAAAGGTAGTTCCTTCAGTTATGAAATGGGTGAATAATGAAAATCCTGAAGGAAAACCAATGAAAGGGTCACATTTAGTTGTGGCACTCGCTTTTATAATCTCAATTTGTAGCATGTCCCCTATTGTTGGTTTCAGCAAAGTTTTGAGTGCATTCTTGGTTGGGCTTTTTATGCCAAGAGAAGGGAGAATATCAAAAATGATGATTGGCAAAGTTAACTATATTTTTAGGACCATATTCTATCCATTATTTTTCTTTTGGGTTGGCACAGAAGCTAAACTTTCAGAATTTGAGGCTGGCAAGATTGCTACATGGGCAAAAATAGTCGTTCCTTTCCTAATTGCGACAGGTGGTAAAGTACTTGGTTCTGTGGTTTCTGGGTTAATGCTAGGATTTCATTGGCCAGAATCAGTTGCCACTGGGTTGCTACTCAATATCAAGGGCCATTTTCAAGTCTATTTAGCTATTAATGCCTACCGCGTAAGTCCTTAACATATTTTTCTTCATTATTATTATTATTATTATTATTATTATTATTATTATTATTATTATTATTATTATTATTATTATTATTTTATTCAAACATTATTGTTTTTCTTGGTGAATTGATTCCACATACTGTCATTGAATTTTATTAACTATAACAATAAAGTTGCAAAAAAAAATCATATATTAAGTACTCACTCCGTTCCAATTTATGTGAACCTAGGTACGAAGTTTAAGAAAAAATAAAGACTTTTGTAATTTGTGGTCCTAAACAAGTCAAAAAGGGCCCAGAGTATTTGTATGGTCATAAAAGCATCTCATTAAGGGTAGAATTGTAAGTTGAAGCTAAATTGTTACCAAATTTAGAAAGGAGTCATTTTTTTTAGAGCGTACCAAAAAGGAAATAGGTAACACAGGGAGTAATTTTTAAATTATTCTTTGTCACATTAAAATAACTAAACTTTATTCACTATAATGGTAAAGTCACCTTTATTGGTGAGTTTTGACGTTATATTGGAAAATTTTGGTGTGGGTAAAGTACAGCTATTTTAAATGGACAAAAAATTAATTTTGCTACTATATTGTTAAAGTGGATAAAAGTTTAGTGACTATTGTTATACTATGTCAAGTTACTTTAATATGACGCAAGAAAAAAAAAAGCTTTTGAATTTATTGCTCTACTAGACAAACTTCGGCAATCATGCATGAAATTGACTCAATACATATGTTATCATCAAGATTATTTTGTGTTCATATTTGCGTAATATTACCTTTGAATGCAGATGAATATCATAAGTATGTCAACAAGTATTGTTTTGGTGTTTGTAACTTTCCTTACCATAATATACACCCCAGTGGTGGTCGCAAAAATTATTGAACGTGCAAGGAAACGGTCACCAACACAAAAAATGGCACTTCAATGGCTTAATTCGACGAATGAGCTTCGAATACTAGTCTGCATTCGTAGTTCTCAGAATGTTTTCTCGGCAATTAACTTCATGGAAATCTCTCGAGGGCCAGCAAATCCTGGAATAATGGTTTACTTAACTGATATGATTGAGTTAACTGATAAAATAGCAGCAACATTAACACAAGGACGTGGAGTTGAAGTTGGAGCTGGAGTTGGAGTTGATGCTGTGACTGTAACTGATCCTGCAGTGGTTGAAATGAGAGAAAAAATTACCAAAGATGTTCATGCTTATTTAAGTGAGGATTGCGAAGGCATTAACTTACAAAGAATGATGGCACTTTCAACCATCAATAGTATGCACCAAGATATAACTATTCTTGCTGAGGACCTGTTGGTACATCTTGTTATACTTCCTTTTCATAAGAATCAAGAGGAAGATGGAAGACTCCATGTGGGTCATTCCGGCTTCCGCCATATCAACCGCAAGGTACACCAGACATATCAACTACTTATTAATTTCTTTCTTTCTTAAAGATCATAAACAGCTAATAGACATGAAACCTTGTAGATAATTCCATACCACAGCTAAAAGCGCCGTTTCGCTAGAGAAATAACAAACAACAATAACAACGATCCAATGAAATCTCACAAGTGGGGTCTGTGGAGGGTAGTGTGTGCGTAGACCTTACCCTACCCCAAGGAATAGAGAGGTTGTTTCCGAAAGACCCTCGGCTCAAGAATACGAAAAGAGACAATATATCAGTACCATCAATAAAAACCATAGAAAAAAATAACAGCATCACAAGAAACAAGAAATAGATGGAAAATAAAATAACAACCAATAGATAAAACCCGACACTAAGAGGAACGAAAGAGTAGTGAGAACTCAACACTAACCACTAGCAGTTTAAGACTAAATCCTAAAACGCTAGCCTCACTCTAGAAAAATAATAAACAAACTTAATAATCATCTACAAGATATCCTTTATTTCTATTCTAATGGAACTAAATGAAAGACATCTAATCTATCAACATTAAGTAGTTGTGTGCCAAAAACATTTAAAGCAAAAACTTAGGAATATTAAATAATATTGCGTCTTGAATTTTATATCTACGGATACGTAGTTGGATATTCCAAATTATTTGTTTGACATATGACATTTTCATGTAGGTTCTTCGGAATGCACCTTGTTCTGTGGGGATCTTAGTAGACAGGGGTCTTGGAAAAACCGTGATATCAAGATCCTCGATTTCCCTAAATGCAGCAGTGATATTTATTGGTGGCAAAGATGACAGGGAAGCACTTGTGTATGCAGGACGTGTGGCGCGACACCCTGGAGTAAAACTCACAGTAATCAGGTTTCTAGTAGAGGCCGCTGGAGATAGTGTGTCATCAAGAGTTGGTAGAGCAAAATCCAATACTACTGAACATTTGGAAGAAATGAAGATTGATGATGAATGCTTTGCTGAATTTTACGATAAACATGTTGCTGGAGGACGTGTTGCTTATGTGGAGAAATACCTTGTCAACTCTGGACAAACATTTTCTACATTAAGGTCATTAGAAGGGCAATATGGTTTGTTTATTGTGGGACGTGGTGGGAGGGTAAATTCTGTGTTAACAGTAGGAATGAGTGATTGGGAGGAGTGTCCAGAGTTAGGTCCTATTGGAGATATTCTTTCTGCTTCTGATTTCTCAGTAACAGCCTCAGTTTTGATCATTCAACAACATAGTCTTAAAGGAGAATTAGATGGACTTCATGATGAATTCTCAATCATGTAACATGTACATATTCAAGTTATAACATAGTAGGATTTCTTCCTAGCAAACTCCTCTAAATTTAAGGGTTCGCTCCTCGTCCTTGACCAAAAGTTAGAGAAACGCAAAAGAAAGACAGATCAACACGATAACACTAAGCATGTGTTACGATTAACTAAATTGAATCACAGTGTATCGCGTAATAAAGGGGCGTGATGGGGGGTTTAGCGCAATGTTTAGAAATTTAAAGGGAACGCCAAAAACAAATTGTTCGCGCAAAAAATAAACAATTTGAGGGAGTCAAAAGAGAACAATTCAGGTGTTCAGTGGAAGGCATCTTCTTCTTCTTTTTTTCTTATTCTTCCTCTCTTTTCTTCAACTTACCAGCAGAATGAATGATGTTAATGGCTTATTGGAAAATTTGTCCTTCAGAGGTCCTTTACTCCTTTTGATGACTGCTTCTCTCATACAATCGGTTCTTCTCTTCAAAGCAAGGCCTCTTCATCGACTATTAATCAATAAAGCCCACAAGACACTCTTCTCCAAAAGGTATGCAAGTACAATATCAAAGAGTAGAGCAATGCTGATGACTTCCCAACAAAAACAAACAGGAAAGGGGATATACAAGTCATCATATCATATCATTATCATCATAGCATCATACTATACTAAAAGTAGGAAGACTTTAAATATAAAGTTAAATTACCAAAATGTCCATCAAAATGCTGAATGACTTTTTCACCCATTATATACACATCACTCCTTTAATGTTTTTGTACTAAATAATAAATTTATCTTTCAATAAATGATAAATGTATAATGATGGTGCATTCAAAAGTACAACCTTTCATATTGTAGTGGGTAGAGCAATTTCCCAATAAATGTCTAGAAAATTGATTATGGCTTACGATGTATGAGATACTCTTGGAGTGATACCCGCAATGAGGGGGGTGAGGCCATGCCGGCACATGGCGGGCAATATCTGCGACATGTTCGAGAGACAACTCCAGATGATGCTGAAGACGAGCACGTCGTTTAAACAGTAAGGATCTTGAGAGAGCAACAAAAGGACATTATGGGCCACCTCTCATGACAAGATCAGGGCATGATAGAGTTGAAGCAGGCGTTGTCGGGTGCTTCCAACAACACGAATAGACGAGGTCTAGCTCCTCCCAATGCTCCCTCAAATCAAACAATACAGAGGGTCAACAACAACACCCCGAGGGGAGAAGTCAGCTTCGACGGAGCTGGGGCAACAGTAGCGGATCCGGTAACAACAATGAGAATGATCCCTTTAAAACCAAACTCATGCGATTTATGAGGGAAACAAATGTCTGAATGGATCAAATTCCGGGCGCATCACCAGTGTTGAAAGGACCGGACTCAAAGAAATATACCTAGTTAATGTCCAAACTAAGCGCGACACAAGAATTGATCCAGAAGCGGTTCAAAATGCCAAACATACCGAAATATGATGGACTTCGAATCCTGAGAAGCACATCACCACCTATGCAACGATGGTGAAGGGGAACAATTTAGCTCCCCGGGAGATTGAGTCAGTCTTATTGAAGAAATTCGGGGAGACCCTCACAAAAGGGGCCCTGACATGGTATTCGCTTTTGCTCGAGTACGCAATAGATTCATTTGAGATGCTCGCGGATTCTTTTATCAAGGCCCATGTTGGGGTCAGAAAGGTACATGCTCGAAAGGCCGACATATTTAGGATTTCATAATGAGAGTTTGAATTGCTGCGGGAGTTTGTAACCAGATCTCAGAAGGAAAAGATGCTGCTACCGGTCGTACCGGATGAATGGGCAGCTGAAGCATTCACTAAAGGTCTGAATCTGAGAAGTTCTCACGCTTCCTGAAAATTACAAGAAAGTCTGCTCGAGTTCCAGGCAACAACATGGGCAGATGTTCACATCTGATACGAGTCAAAGATAAGAATTAATAATGATCTACTCGGTTTCCTAGCATCATCCAAGGGTCGATACCGAGAGAAGAATAAAGAAAAGTCAAAGGATGATTTTGCTACAGGTCGACGGTCTTTAAAAGGTCAATTTTTGCCCTACGAAAGGCCAAAGGAGGTGGTAGAGGTTTACGTTCAGTGGATAGATTCGCAGCCGAAAGGAGAGCTGATCGCTACTATAATAATAGAGCACTGTAGGGCAAGGAAATGTTGGGTTCCCAAGACTCTTTCTACCCCAGACTTTCTGAATATAACTTCAAGTTAGCGTAGTGTAGCTAGTATAGACTATAAGGAACATTGAGGAAGCACAGTTCCCGAAGACAATGTGATCCGATCTCAATCAAAGGGATCCTAATTTATGGTGTGAATACCATGGGACAAACGGCCANAGTTCAGGTTTAGTTCGTAAGGACAAAGGTACGTAGTCTCCTATCTATTATGATAGTAAAATTTTAAGGGGAGCAGAAACTTGCTACCTACATCTGGAAAAATTGGCCTTGTCTCTCGTAGTTGGTGCTCGAAAGCTTAGGCCGGATAGGGGACTGCTGGCATCTGCACGAGAGATGGAGACATTACTGAAAATGGCCATCTTAGAGAATTCTTGAGTGAGCAGGCTAAAAATAGTTACAGTCACAATCGTGATAATGTGGAACCTTCAAAAGTAGAAGAAGATCCTCCACGTTTGACGATAAACATGATTTTTGGGGGAAACGAGATTAATGGTGTGACTTTTTCAGCGGTAAAGAAGATGAAGGTGTCAGCAACCCACTGTAAGAGACTCGGGGAAGTCACTGAGGATGACATTACTTTTATGAATGAAGACGCAGATGGACTATTGCTGCCGCACAACGATGCCTTGGTAATCTCTTTAAATGTCTTAGATTTTAAAACTAAAGGTGTTTTGGTGGACCCAAGAAGTTCGACCAATATTTTCCAGTGGAGAGTGATGGAACAAGATAAGCTAACAGGAAGTATCATTCTAGCCACAAAATTCCTCGTCGGGTTCTATCTGGAAAACGTAACAATCCGAGGAGAGATCTTGCTGCCCACCAAAGCAGAGGGGGTGATGATGACAACCCTTTTCAAGGTAGTCGACGGCGATATGGGCTACAATATTATCCTAGGAAAACTATAGTTGCATGAGATGAAGGTCATGTCGTCGATGTATCATCAATTATTTAATTTCCCAACTTCTGAGGGAATTAAACAAATAAGAGGCCACCAACCGGTAGCAAGGGAGATGGATGAAATCTCATTTTTTTTTCCAGTAGCAAAAGGGAAGGAATGTGTAGCGTAGCAATTACAGGAACCAGCACCTGCTCCCGAGCCAAGCGAAGTCAACCAGGGGGAGGAGTCATCGGAATCCTATCAGGTACCAAGATATTTTCAGGTACCAGAAGAAACGGACGCAACAAAATACACATCGGAAGAACTTGAGCAAATCGTATTGTTAGAAAAGTTCTTAGAGAGGAAATTCCACTTGGGGACATGGCCAAACCCCGAGCTCATGTCTGGATTTATCGAATTTCTTAAATTAAATATAAACTATTTTGCGTGGTCGCATACGGATATGACAGGTATCCTGCCAGAAGTGGCCATGCATAAACTAAGCTCGGATCCCAACATCCTTCTAGTAAGACACAAAAAATATCCGATTGTTGAGGTTAGAAATAAATTCGTCAAAGAAGAGGTAACTCTTTTGCTTGATATCAGTTCAATATGAGAGGTAAAGTACGCCGACTGTCTAGGTATTGTTGTAGTAGTTCCAGAGAAAAATAATAAATTTTGCATGTGCGTAGACTATAAGGATTTAAATAAGGTGTTCCCGAAAGACTCGTTCCTATTGTCAAATAATTGATGCGATGGCTGGGCACGAGTTATTGAGATTCCTCGATACTTACTTCGGGTACAACCAAATAAAGATGAACCCGGAGGATCAGGAAAATTTTTTGTTCATAATGAAATTCGGCACATATTGCTATAATGTGATGCCTTTCGGGCTAAAAACGCCAGAGCCACTTATCAGCTGCTCGTAAACAAAATTTGAAAATCAAATAGGGAAAACCATGGAAGTTTACATAGATGATATGCTGGTTAAGTATTTGAACGCAGGTGATCATCTAAAACACTAGAAAGAAACTTTTGACATCCTAAGAAAGCATAACATGAAGTTTAACACCGAGATGTGTGCATTCGAAGTCAGCTCTAGTAAGTTCTTAGGATTCCTGGTGTCGCAATGGGGGGTTCAAATTCAACTCGATAAAATTAAAGTCATCAAAGACATCAATGACCTGCTATCAAGCCTGAAAGAGGTTCAAAGGTTGACAGGAAGACTGGCCGCTTTAACTAGATTCATTTCTCGGTCTTCAAAAAAAATGTCATCATTTCTTTTCGCTCCTTAAAAAGAAGAACAACTTCGAATGGACTCCGGAACGTCATCAAGCCTTGAAGGATTTGAAAAGTTATTTGTCGAATCCTCCACTACTGTCAAAATTGGAGGAAGGCGAATAGATGCTGACGTACTTAGTGGTCTCTAAGGTAGCGGTAAGTTCAGGTTTAGTTCGTAAGGACAAAGGTACGTAGTCTCCTATCTATTATGATAGTAAAATTTGAAGGGGAGCAGAAACTTGCTACCTACATCTGGAAAAATTGGCCTTGTCTCTCGTAGTTGGTGCTCGAAAGCTTAGGCGTTACTTTTAATGTCATCCGATAACCGTGGTGACCACTTTTCCCTTACAAAATATTCTTCATAAACTTGAACTTTCAGGTAGGCTGGCCAAGTGAGCTGTCGAAATGAGTGAATTTGACATAGAGTATAAACCTAGGACTGTGATTAAGTCATAAGTTTTGGCCGACTTTGTGGCTGATTCCAATCCTGCGTTGTAACCTTTGGCTACCAAAGAAGTAGTGATGGTGTCAGAATCGATATCAGGAGTTTGGACCTTGTTTACGGATGGAGTATCCAATGTGACGGGGTCCGGGATCGGCATAGTGCTAACCACGCCCTCGAAAGAAACCCTAAGGCAGGCCATAAGTACCGTCCCTCTAACTAATAATGAAGTAGAGTATAAAGCATTGATTGCAGGACTCGAGCTGGCTCGGGGATTGGACTCCGAAGTTATAGAAATCAAATGCAACTCCTAATTGGTAGTAAATCAGGTCTACATGTCCTTCGAAGCCAAAGAGGAACGCATTCAACAATATGTAATAAATGTCCAGGCTCTGCTCGCATGGTTCAGGGAATAGTCACTTATGCACACCCAAGAGAAGAGAATATGGAAGCGGGTGCACTAGCCAATCTTGGATCATCCAGGGAAATAAAAGGATCAGACTCTGGTATGGTCGTACAGCTTATGCATTCGGTATTGGATATAGACAACAATAACGAGGTAAACGCAGCCGATTTGGCCTGGGACTAGAGAAACGAGGTCATTTACTATCTTGAGCATGGAAATTTTCCTGAAGATCCCAAGGTATCTCGGGTGCTACGCGCTAAAGAAACTCAATGCAGCTTCAAGGGAGGTCAATTTTATAGAAGATCTTTTGAAGGCCCGTTGACCCAATGTTTAGGGGCTTCCAAAGCTAACTATGTCATGAAAGAAGTCCACGAAGGGATCTGTAGGAATCAATCAGGCACAGATTCCTTAGTATTAAAGCTAATCCGAGCGAGATGCTACTAGTCCCGGATGGAACAAGACGCTAAGGCTTATGTACAGAAATGCAATAAATGTCAATGCCACGCACCGTTGGTACATCAATCGACAAAACTACTACACTCGATTTTGTTGCCCTAGCCATTCATGAGGTGGGGAATGGATAAAGTCATTCCGCTGCCACCAGCCCCCGAAAAGTTAAGATTTCTTTTGATTTTAACTGACTATTTTTCTAAGTAGGTTGAAGCAAGTCCTTACTAGAAAATCGGTAAACATGAAATGGCAGATATTTTGTGGGAGAATAAAATTTTTAAGTTCGGGATACCAAAAGAAATAACGAAGCATTGCTAGTCAAATTGGTGTTTCTCGACAAACGCAGGGACTTTGCACATATAAGGATGGCAGCCCAAAAACAGAGAATGGAAAGATATTACAATCAAAGAGCTAACATCCACTATTTCAAAATAGGAGACTTGGTCTTAAGGAGAGTAACTCAGAACACCAAGGAGCTCAACGCATGAGAGTTAGGTCCGACGTGGGAAGGCTCGTACCGGATTTTAGATGTCACCGGGAAAGGTTTATATGAATTGAAAATCAATATGGAGTAAAGTTGCCGAGCAACTGGAACTTGGCACACCTCAAAAGGTACTATTGTTGACTAGCATCGCCTATAATGAAAGTATATGCTGCTCTCTTTTTCCCTTCGTCCAGTTTTTGTCCCAATTGGGTTTTTTCTGGTAAGGGTTTTAACAAGGTAGCAACATAATGCATACTACGAAGGAAGTTTTGTCAACAAAAATAAGACCTTAAAATGACAAGGCAAGCAGACAACTTATCACTACGGAGCGATTAGATAATATTTTGCTCGTTAGCAAAGTTCCTACCGAAAAGTAAAATTTGCTATCGGGCCAAGGATTACCCGACCATTCATGAGTGAAAGCCGTTGGGGGTTGTTGGATAGTCTTTGGCTCGATAACAAATTTCCTAAGGAGAAGTGAATCTAGCTATTGAACTAAAGATTACCTAACTATCAGCTAGTTGAATCTTCAAAGGAGCAAGATTTCTAGTGTTCAAATTCACATTCTTCACACTCGAACACTGGGGAGAATGATATGAGAATATGGAGATAACTGCCATATCGACCGGGAATACAAAATCCGGGAACAAAGTTTTTTCATCGAGACCAGGGACGGTGCGGCCAGCCCCGTAAAAACAAGTTGTACAAGTTGGCCACAAGTAATGGCATTTCTTTTTAGCACAATGAATGATTAAGTACTTTTGATAATGGAAGGAATAAAGTAAAGTACTTTTATTTTTATCTCGTTTCTTGTCTGAATGATGAATTAATTCTATCATTTTAAAGTTAAACAAGTACTTCAAATGCTAGTGTCGTAATAAACAAGATATGTCCTCTTCAAGAGCATCATAAATATAAGAGAGTCCTCTCTTATAAACCCTCATAGTAAAGGTTGATTCTGACAGAGCTTATGCCCAGAATCCAAATACTATCTGGGAATAATAGACCTGAAGCCTTGCATAATTCAACGCAAAGAGAAAAACTTGAACAATACTTAAACGAAAAGTATGCAAAGAGAAAAAGTTGCAAAATACTTAGATGAAAAATACTTCTATTCACAACAAACATGCCAAGAATCACAAATACACAGGTATGGAAAAGAAAAGAAAGCAAAATGCTAAACGACTGCACTCCCGGAATCCAGAGGAAGAGAAACATTCGCACGCCCCGGAGAAGTAGGCGGAACCGTCGCTGGCTAAATATCTTGGCCTTAAGCATTATCCACTTTTGATTCTTCTTCAGTTCCCGAGAACTCAGAACTGAAACAAAAAGAGTCGGTAGAATCAGGTTGGACCAGGAGACCCCTTCGGGCAGTTGAGTCCAGCTCACGAGCGTTAGCGATTTCTACATCAAAGTCAATGACGCCTCATTGGCCTCTTCCAAGGTTTTTCTCCTCATACTATACATAGAGTATGTTTTTTCAACAATAAAGAAAGCCGCTTGGCGCTAAAGTTCTTCATTAAGACAGTCAACCTCGGTCGAAAGGTCATCCCGCTCAGACCTAACTGCCAGGAGGCTAACATCAAGGTTGCGGAGAGTGGAGTTAAAAATATTGTTATGCTCTATGAGTTTCTTGTGCCTCTCTTCCAATCAGGCATACTTCTCCTCGGCATCACAACTTCTTCAACTTTGGAGTTTAAGGCTGCCTCTAAATTATTCAATCTTTCAGTAGAGGCAGCCTCGCGATCAGATGCAGCAAGAACGACATTATGGACCTCAACCCACTTTGCCCTAGCTTCTTCAAATTGTAACCTTAACAGGACGGCCTCTTGGCCAAGGGTCACTACCGCTTGCTCGCTTTGCTGCAACCGAGCCTCCAACTCAGTGGCCTCAGCAGCTTGTGCTTCTAGTTTCGGGAGGTGGGCATCAATCTGACTCTTATCAGCCAACAATTGATTCCCTGCA